GAGTCTGCTTCTCCGTCGCCCTCTGCCACTCCCCCTGCTTGTGCTCTCTTTCTCGAATAAAAAAATAATCTTTAAAAATAAATAAATAAAGTACTGAAACTTTCTGAAGCCCTTTTAACCTAGTTGATTAGCTATGGAATAATAAGCATATGTAAAGTATCAAATAGATGACTCACCACCATACTCTTACCTCTCACACACTTCTCAACCCACTCCATCATGGCTTATTGCCTCCCCACTCCACTGAAAGAGCTCTCCTTAAGGTCACCATTGTCACTAAGCCCAAAGGCCATTTACATAGCCTCCATTGTTCTGCTACAATGCCTCAGAAGCATTCTCCTTTCTAGAAACATCTCCTTTTCTCTGTAGGGGGAGAGAGAGAGAGAGAGAGAGGCAGACACACAGAAGAGAAGCCACCATGTTCAGAGAGAAAACAGCCACCTGTGCTTCTTCTGGCTCTTGGAACCTGACCTTCCTAAATATGAGTTCTGTGACACTGCCATGAATCTTTACTGTGACTGTCCCTTTGGGGCACCTTAAAAGACCAAGGACACTATGCAAATGGAAGACAGGATCACCTTTAAATCTATTTTAAGCTTTCTCTTCAATATCCAGCACCGTGTGCCTTCCCCACCTGGATTTCTTAAACTTTGGCAACAGATAAGCATACAACACATTCATTTGACAGGTACTGAGAAGCAGTGAAAAGAAACGTGAAGGTCCATGGCTCAATGTGATCCATTCTTAAGCCCCTTCACCAATTAAGTGGTGTCCCTGGAGGGTTCTTCCAGGTCAGGTGTTGGAAAGGTTTCCTAGAATTTAGAAGAAGCTAACATAGGACAGCCCCAGGCCTGTGATTTTTCTTCACCCCTTAAGAGACTTATTTAAAATAAATAGCCAAGGCTTTGTCTCTTTGCCATAGCCTTCCTTATTATGAACTGAGGTCAGGACAAATAGCTCATGTCCCTGACTCAAAGCTAAGGATGAAATGGCTCCTTTGAGGAATCAGTAAATCACAAAATCCTCCTGGCAAAGGACAAATGGAGTTTGCCATTCGCCACCGGCTCAAACAGGTATCAACAGGACTTGGAACCGAGGCTCTTATGTTTCTGCTTTGCTTGAGGCCCTTCTAACTGCCCCTTGAATGGGTCACTCCATCTCTCCCCCATCCCATCAGTACCTAGGTAGAGAGATTCAGGGCTATATTACTGTCAATGTTCTGTGACTGTCAGTGATGCGTTTGCTAAGACAAAGACTGACAAATTGCACTCTTCACATTAATTTTCAAGTACATTTTTAAAGCACATGCCTCTGATGAAGTATTTTGAATAGTTCTGTGGATGTCAAGGAGACATTTAAAATATCTCACTCATAATTTTTGAAAATCTTCCTCATTCAAAGTTGTCACAGCTTGACAGCTTAGCTCTGTTTTGAGTATATTCTTTTACAATGTACTACAAACTGATTGAAGAGCTGACAAATCTGACTTAACCCAAACAAGAATCTTTAATATATCTGATTGAAAAGAATGTTTAATGAAAATGCATATACAGACATTACATCTAGCATCCTATTTTTAAAAAGTCAAATTACACAATTAAAATCTTTACTGAAAATATGCCTTATCCCCCCACTAGAAAAAAGAAAATCACTCCACCATCTATTGAGACAAAATGCTGAAATTATTAGAAATCACCATGATTGAATATTCATGTATTTTTTTGTCTAAGGAAATTTCAAGATTTTATTTCCTACATGTACCTTTAAACAATGTTTAATATAGTTATTTTCCAATTTATCCATTCCTTTGAATCCAATGACTGATCCTGGCTTGTACAAACAACTTATAAGAAAGAGAGTAAAACACTGAAATAGGGTTATTATAATTCTTCTCTAATCCAGGCTGGAAAAGTAACCTTATGATTATTAAGTACAAAAAAGGAAGAGAAGAACAAAAGGAATCTATAGCTAGATAAAAGGAGAAATTGCCTGTGTAATTGAGTTAAGGTTCTTAGTGCAGTGAGGGTTCTACCCAAACATCCATAAGCAAAGTAAGTCCATAAAATTCTACTGATAGCAGAACAAGAAACAGCCATAAGATAATCTCTCTAAATATTTTTTTGGTTTCGCTAAAATACACTTGGTTCCCTGCATCCTTTTCTTGCATTAAGATTATGCCACTAATAAGGAGTAGAAAAATAATACACCATAACACAAGGCACAAATTCCTGCCAGACAGGAGGATGAACAGAGAACCTTTCCAGTGCTGGGAAGAAAGGAAGAAATAAAGGAAAGAAAGAGAAAGATGGGAATATCCCAGCCACTTACATCCTTCAGGGTGGAAAAGTCACAGAAATATCCACATAGTGTTGTTGGAATTTAAGAACACTGGGAGCGGGTGCCCCATTTCCACAGGTATAGCTGAGGAAGTCAGAAGCATCTCAGAAGAGCCAAAGTAAGTGCACATCACAGCAGTACATCCCACATAGCGTGAAAGTCATAGAGCAACATCATGCCCTCTGCGCCTGGCAGATATTTAAACTATGTACTTTTGCGGGCCTTTCAGAGCCTCCCCTTCTGGGCAGTTCCAATGACATGGATGAGATTTCTCCTTCAGTGTGGTTCTCCAGTGGCCACTCTACCAGACTTTCACAGTTAGAAGCCCTTTGCCTTCCTCCTGGGTAGAACCGAAAGCAGTTCAGAGACAGGTCTGTTCTGGATGTGGCCCACATTTGTTCCATGGAAAAGATGCATTATCTGTTTGGCTGTTAGTGGACATGTAGTTATTCCCTAAATGCAGTCTTCCAGTGGCTCTCTCTGCTTTTACTTAGGCTTCTGTAGCTCTTTCTGACATGATTGAGCTCCCAAAGTCCACAGATGTCCCTGCTGTAGGTTCTCCTAACAACCCTCCCAATTGCATGAGCCAGTTTCTTAAAATAAATCTCTTCATACACACGCACACATACACACACACTCACACACACACGTGCATACACAAACACACATCCTCTTGGTTTTGTTTACCTGGAGAAACCTGACTAATACAGGGTTTAGCATAACATTCTCTAAAGGAAATCTCTTCACCAAATCCTCTCTTGTCAGCATTTTGACACCTTTCTACAATTTTGATTTGACTGAAAGGTTCCTGTCCTTTAAAGAGCTATTTTAATCTGACACCTTACTTAGTTAAGGAGCATCTATAACATCCTTGTGCCTTTGAAAAATCCTATTGCAACATTCTGTTCTAGGTATTAATAGGTCTAGGGGAACAAAAGAGCAGTGCTCAGGACAAGGAGACTTCACAGAGGAGGGACCTCACAACCAGAGACAAGGATAGGATTCATGGTGATCAAGGCCGGATGCCAGCATTTGCGGGACCAAAGCAGCAATTCAACACCATGGCAATCAGCCCGGGACAAATAGCCCTGAGAGGTTAGTGCCAACACTGAATTGACTCCTTTGTATCTACAAGAGATGGTTTCAAACTAGAAGAGTCCCAGTTAACGTGTGACTGGCAAGTTTGTGGAGTTTTTTTCTTCTGCTAGAGGGAATAACTAAACGAAAAACATGAGCGCAGTATGAAATTGGTTTTGGAAAACAAAAAAAGCTACATGTTTATTCACATCTGAGTCAAAATGAGAATTCTGACTTTTCTGATTTTATTTCAGAGGGAAGGTTGAGCAACTGCAGGCTACTCGATATTTTTGACTGTCATAAATCAACCATGATATAATATGATATGCATGAGTGTATCATGATACACTCGATATAATATGATATGCATGAGTGTATCATGATACACTCGATATAATATGATATGCATGAGTGTATCATGGATTTGCGTAGAATATGGAAAAACATGGAACACAGAGATGATCAGCACCCAAAGGTGAAGCAGGACAAAAAGTAATAACTACAAAATGATGAGGACTGGGACATTTCCATTAGCATATCCTGGGATTATCTGGAAATGCCCAAATCTTTGGAGAGGACAAATTATAAGGAAATGCCAAAACTATAACATAGTTAGAACTGTATTTTTATTGTAGTGTGTGTGTGTGTATGTGACATGCATAAATGCATACTTATAAAATATTCATTATATAGTCCTGAGGTAAGAGAGATAGGTCATAAAATTCATTTATTTCTAGATATTAATAGCCCCAAACAGTGATGGGTCCTGGAAGTTGACATTTTGAATGCTTCTTTCATTCAACCAAGACTGACAGCATAGTATAATAGTTGAAAGCACATAATTTGGGGGTTTCAAATCACAATTCTTTCATTTAATAGTATTGTGACCTTGGGAAAGTTATATAACTTCTTTGTGTCTCATTTCCTGATGGGTAAAAGAGGAATAACAGTAACTGCTTCATAGGGGTGTTACAAGAATTAATGAAGAGACCTAATATCTATGTAGCCCTTAGAATAGTGCCTGGAATATAGTGAGCTCTACATAAATATTTGTTAAATAAAAATAGTATGGTAATACACATTAAGATCACAATAATAAATTGTATAAATTGTATATTTAGGTTTTTTTTTGGATATTTCACTTGTTTTTCCTCTCCTAAACCAATCATTTTTATTTTCTTTATCACATTCAAAAAGGGGGGAAGAAACCTCAATTACATTTTTATTTTTTAATTTTTTATTGTTATGTTAAGCACCATACATTACATCATTAGTTTTTGATGTAGTGTTCAATGATTCATTGTTTCTGTATAACACCCAGTGCTCCATGAAGAATGTGCCCTCTTTAATACCCATCACCAGGCTAACCCATCCCCTCACCCCCCTCCCCTCTAGAACCCTCAGTTTGTTTCTCAGAGTCCATCATCTCTCATGGTTTGTCTTCCCCCCTCCGATTTCCCCCCCTTCATTCTTCCCCTCCTGCTATCTTCTTCAATTACATTTTAAAGTTGCTTAAATCAAATGAGCCAATGTAACAACTACAATTAAAGTTGAGGGTCCAGTATACTTTTAGAAGTTTGGGAACAGCACTAAAATCAAGGTATTATAAGATTGTGGAGATATTAAATTGATATTTAAAAAGAAAGGAAGGGAACTGAGAAGTATAAATCTTTCATGAAGAAAATATAAAAATACAGTGGAGTTTTGAAATTCAAACTACCAAACTTTCCACTCACTAGGGTTTTCCCATTTGACTGAAAGAGTCCTCTCCTTTAAATAGGCTATTTTAATCTGGCACCTTACTTGTTAAGGAGCATCTGTAACATCCTTGTGCCTTTGAAAAACCCTATTTATAAAGGTGACTTTTAAGAATTCTAGATATGGTTTGTAATCAACCAACGTTTAGGCCAATCTCCTATCTACAATAATCAATGAAAATTGATAAATTGGAAAGGTTTACCTAGTGCACTATTAGATTTTTAATTAAAAGTGGCTCTCATTTGGTTTAATATACTGTTTTTAATAACAGGGGAGTGAACTCAAACATTATTCAAGATTTCCAGAGTTGCGGAAAAAAAAAAAAGTTGCCTAACTCTCAGCTAACCAAGAAATTTTTTAAATTTAATTATCCAGAATAACCCAGCATTCAAGTTTATCCAAGTCTTACTACTATGTCCTGAGTTTGCTTTTGCCATATTGCTTATTACGTCCTCAGTTCTAATTTTTTATGTTGGCAAAATCATTGAAAATGCATATAATTGAGTAATGTGCTTGTTAACAAAAACAAGACACATTTCGACAACTGGTAACACAAAAAATAACCACTCACGGACATACTCATAATAAAAGTTCACAAAGAAGTTCAGCAGCTTAGTTCTTTCTGTGAGGAAAGTGTCTGCTTTTCCATACAAACTAACCCAGAATTGAGAAATAGGAAGGAAATTTAATATAATGGCACTCACCAAAAGCATTCAACCTGAGGTAGATCAGGACATGTGCGAAAAGATATCAGGACATCTGCACACCTGGCTTTAGGGAGCTGGAGTCTGTGGTCGTTACCACTTGTAAACTTTGGGATTTCCCACAGTTATTTATACAAATATAGCCTCACATCATTAAATCTCATCAGGGCTGCCACTCTCTGCCTCTGGCCACACAGAATGCTAAATAAGGAAATGGTGTTTCAGAGCTTCATCTTCAGGAGACTGAGATGTTACAATTTTCCTTCCTAGGGGACCCTGGCTAGAGGTTGAGACTCTCCTGGATATTTGTCTTCAGTTTCTCTCATTTGTCCTTTGTCCAGAAAGGTCATCATCTGCTCCTCAGAAGCATCATGCCAAGCCTCTTCTTTGAGACATATATATCTATAAATTCTCTTGTGAAACCCGCAAAAGAGGCAACCTTGAGCATAAATGCTCAGAGAACATTCTTGGCTTAAGTTGGGTTGCTACAACAGAATACAATAGACTCAGTGGCTTCAACGACAAACATTATTTCTCACATTCTGGAGGCTGGAAAAATCCAAAATCATGGTATAGGCAGATTTGGTTCCTGGTGAAAGCCCTCTTGCAGATTGCTGCCTTCTTGCTGTTTCTTCACATTGGAGAGAGAGAGAGAGAGCGTGAGAGAGATCACTCGGTTTGGTCTCTTCTTATAAGAGCTCTTAATCTCATATAAGGACTCTACCCTCCTGACCTCATCTAAACCTAAGTACCTCCCAAAGGTCCTACCTCCTACTACTGTCATATCAGGGTTAGGGTTTCAACATAGGAATTTTGGCAGGACACAAATATTTAGCCCATAACAATTTTTCTATCTGTTCCCACTTTCAATAGCACTAGATGCTATCCACACCATCACTCTCTCTTTGTATTATACTCTCTGGCCTGGCAAAAGGACAGTTTTGTTAACAAAGGGAAGTAGTATTTTCTGATCTTTCTCTTCAGCATATATGATTCAGGGAAAATCAAAGGTTAAAATGGGACAAAATGGTTTAAGTAAAAAGATCATATTTTGAAATCAGTATCTTTTTTATTTTATATACAATGCTTAATCTTGTTTCCTCCTCTGTCAAATGAGGTAACAATAATACCTACTTCTCAGATTGTGCCGTGGATACTAAATAAGAGCCATTTGGTGATTCCTCCCAGTACTTCTTGAGGGCCTAGTCTGTGCAGATACCGTCCTATACACTCAGGATAGCACAGTGAAGAAGACTGTCAAAATCTCCACATCACTGAGCTTCCATTCTAATCGGTGTGATAAGCAAATATGTACACTTTACAGTTAGGCAGTGCAGAGAACTTTGTAGAGAAACAAAAGCAGTGTGGAAGGCTAGAGAGTGACGAAAGGTACTATTGGGGATAGGGTGGTCAGGCAAGACCTCTCTTTGGAGATTAATATGAGTGGAAACCTATTAAAGTGACAGAACAAGCCATGCGCAGACATGCAGAGAATTCTAGACAAAGAATAGGAAGTACAAATTCCAGAGAGATGGCAACTTCTTGGGGTCTTCAAGGAATAATGAGGAAGTCATTGTGGCTGGTACACAGTGGTCAGTGGGGAGATTGGGGGGGAATGAAATCTAAGAAATAAGGGGAAAGGAATGGAAGCAGATCATAGAGAGTCTGGCAGAGTGAGTAATCAAAACATAGCTATTCCTGACACATTTCAACCCTGTATTGTTGATGCAGGTTGGGATAGATAGTTCCCTTCATATTGTCAATAAGTCCTCTTTCAAAAGAAGACACTTGCTGAATAGATGATGGTCCTGTCACTTTCCCCCAATGCTATCAGTACCATATTTGGGTTCTCATTGACCCTGGGCTTTCAGCAAATGACAATTGCCTCTCCTCTATCCAAAGCCCTGTTCATCCTAATGAAGATGCATCATTGGCACTTGCTTCCTGCATAGCTGGGAAAGAGCAGTAGAACCAAAAAGCCCCATACAGATGGAAGAGCTCAGTAGAACATCTGCCTTGCGTGTCTGTCACCTCCCTACCTTCTGCTCCTGTGTTAGCTGCCAGCCATTGCAGCAGTTCCTGAATCAAGGGACCCTCCTCTTCTGGTGTTTTCTTAGAGCTTTGACAGATTATCTGTACTGTTATTCCCAACAGCATCATGCCATCTTTCTTAAAACTGTAGGAAGATCCTGATGGAAATCTCAGTCCTTAAAAAAAAAAAAAAAAAAAAAACTGCACCCAGACAGATCCATTAAACCATAGCCACACCTGAAAGTGTCCTATCAACTGACATTAGGCAGTTAATCCATTGCATCAATTACGTGGATGACCTATACTGGTCCATATGACATTGAAGAAACAAGACAGCTATGGAGAATGTATTTGTCCCTCTCCAACTCCTGCACAACCACTCTAGTCCAAATCACCCTCATCTCTTGCCTAGATTACTATAGTAGCCTCCTGACTGATCTAGTAGAAACCGCTTTAATCCAAACTATCACTCACCTGATTATTACTAATACTAAATAGGCCTCCTAACTAACCTATTTCCAGTTCAGTTCCCTTTACCCCAGTTGATTTTCCACATTTGGGCATATGAAGTGACATTCTGAAACTGAATTCTAAACACCTGAGTTTTGTATAAAACCTTTTTATGATTTCCCAAAGCTGTTAGAAACTATTTAGTATAGGTCAAGATTCCTATTGGCACCTTAAGGTGATGCCTGATCTAGCCTTTGCCTAGCTCTTATCTAAGAACAGTGTTCCTCCACCCTACCCCATTCTCCATACTTTAGTCCTAGTGGCCTTTATTCTGTTCTGCCAACATGCCATGGTCCTTTCTGCCTTGGGGATTTTTTTAAAACTGTTGTCTCAGACTGGAAATTCTTCCCAACCACATCTCACTTCACCTACTAAACCTGCAGCTTTCACATACAACTCAAACATCTAGGGTTACATGCCTTGTGCTTCTCAGACAGGTCCACCACTCTCTAATCCTCACTACAGTTCCTTTTACTCTAGTTTTGAAGCTCTTCTAGTTTGTAGTTACATGTCACTGAGATTGATTATTTTATTAAATACCCATCTCCCTCCACTAGGCTGTACTCACTAGGAAGCCAGGGAATTTGCTTTTCTCACTTCTTGAATCCCAGCACTTTCTGGTTCCAAAGCTAGTGCTCATTCTACTGCTTTCTGGACCAATTTGTCAAAGAACAGATAACCATTTAAACTGAGACAGCTCTTAATATAAAGACTGCCTGTATAGGTTTTTTAAACCTATGCCATTTGTTTCATTTTATACAGGAGAAATAATAACATCAGTTCTTTCAGGCATGAGTTTGAGCTAAGAACTGAACGAAGAGCTGAGACATCCATAATACGTGTTTTGAGCAACACTTTGCGAAACCAAAAACTTTGATCTTTCTTCTCATTGAAGGTATATCCAAAAAGCTTGACTGTGGACATAGTGAACATAAACAAAAGGTAAAAATGCGGAGTGCCTGGGTGGCTCAGTCATTAAGCGTCTTCCTTCGGCTCAGGCCCTGATCCCAGGGTCCTGGGTATCCAGCTCCCTGCTCAGTGGGAAGCCTGCTTCTCCCTCTCCCTCTGCCTGCTGCTTGTGTTCCCTCTCTTGCTGTCTCTCTCTGTCAAATAAATAAATAAAATCTTTTTAAAAAATGGTAAAAATGGAACTAGTCAATCTACTGCTTCCATAAGCATACCTAGTTTGTTCAGTGAAAGTGAATATCTACTCGTTTACTTGTGACAGGTTCTACTTGGGTTCCTTGGTACCAATTCCATATTTTAAGTGAATAAAAAGGCAAAGCCTTGCTCTGTTGCAACATCATGACTTCCTACAAAAAAATAAACTATTTTTATAAATGTATTTAATAACACTACCATAAACTCCTGAGCTTTTAAAAAAGCATTACTTCATACTTGAGGAAAAAGAATAAAAGAATATCACCAATCTACCCAAATTATAAATTCCCATGAAAAAAATAACAAGAAAGAAGGAAAGACAGAAAGATATAGAAAGCAAAAAAAGGAAACCAAAAAAAAGAGAAAGATATAGAAAGATAGAGAGACAAAGCAACATTGAGAAAGCACTCAGTCGTAAGTCTTAGAACTAGGGATTCTCTGCGAAATCATCATGTCATTCTAATGCAGATGCAGGAAAATGTAATAGTATTATACATATATATACATATATAGTTATATACCCTATAACTAACCTCTAAATTAATAAGGAAATCGGAGGGGGAGACGAACCATGAGAGACTATGGACTCTGAGTAACAAACTGAGGGTTCTAGAGGGGAGGGGGGGGAATGGGTTATCTTGGTGATGGGTATTAAAGAGGGCATGTACTGCCTGGAGCACTGGGTGTTGTACGCAGACTATGAATCATGGCATGAAACGCTACATCAAAAACTAACAATGTAATGTATGGTGATTAACATAACAATAAAAAAATAAAGCACATAAAAATGATGTTTGATATTCAAATCACAGTATCAAAAATCCATCAAATGGTGGGCAACAACTTTATTTCTTTAATAAAAGCAATACATATTTATTGTTAATCTACTGTATGCAAGCCACTGGAATCCCTGTCTCCATAAAATTTAGATGTTAGTAGATAAAGGTAATCAATAAATAATAAATATAATCAGTACATTATATGATCTGTTGGAAGATGACAAATGCTATGAAAGAGTAAAATAGAAAGGAGTTCAGAGTGCAGGGACAGGGAATTGCAATTTAGACACGATGGACATAGTAAACCTCATTAGGGTGGTGACATTTAGCAAAGTTTAAAAAAGTTGAGAGAGCTAGCATTGTGACTATTTGGGGGGAAGTGCATTTCAGGTAGAGGTCAGGACTGTATCTGGGACATTCTAGAAACAGCAAAGATATGTGTGTGGCTTGATGTGGAGCAAGTGAGGCAGGAAAACATGGGAGAGGAACTCAGAGAAGTATTAAGGAGCCAGACCACATATTTTCATTTCCCTGCTGGTTAATGGTGTTGAACATCTTTTCATGTGCCATTTGTATATATTCTTTGTGAAGTACCTAAATATTTCCCAATTTTTAAATTTGTTTGCTTGTTTCTTCACTAGGGAGTTTTGAGAGTTTTTATATTTTTTTGGATACAAGTCCTTTGTTGGACATGTGGTTTGCAAATGTTTTCTCCCAGTCTGCAGTTTGTCTTTTTATTCCCTTAATAGTCTGTTGCAGGGCAAAGGTATTCAATTTTGATGAATTCCAATTTATCAACTTCTTTTATGGATCTTGCTCTTGGAATTCCATCTAAAAATACTCTGGCTTAACCCCAGGTCATGAATATTTTCCTCTAAAAGTTTTATAATTTTAAGATTAGATTTGCAATTCATTTTGAGTTGATTTTTATATAAGGTGTAAGGATAAGATTGAGTGTCATGTTTTGTAAATGGGCTCAAATAGTGCCAACACTGTCAAGATGACTATACTTTTTCCATTGAATTGCTCAGGTGCCTTTGTAAAAATCAAATGGCAATTATATAATGGAATATTATTTAGGAGCAAAAAGGAATGGGCTATCGAGTCATGAAAAGATATGGATGAATCATAAATGCATATCTTTAAGTGAAAGAAGCCAGTCCAAAAGGACTACATACTATCTGATTACAATTATATGGCATTCTGGGCAAGACAAAACTATAGACACAGTAAAAAGATCAGGGGTTGCCAGGGGTTCAGAAGGGAGAGTTGAAGCATGGGGGATTTTTAGGGAGGGGTGTAACTATGCTGTATGATACATAATTCCTGACATATGACACTACGCATCTGTCAAAGCTATTCAATTTATAAAAATTTACAATGGACCTTAATGTATGCAAAATTTTAAAAATTACTTAGGATGGCATGGGATCCCAGGATGGAATACAGAATGTGACTGTATTACGGATGTATAAAAAAACCTCACTGGAAGAGGTGATGCTGACCCAAGTAACTTTGGAAATTGGTGGAGTTTATAAAATTAAATGTAAAAGAAACTCTATTGAAATGCTATGCTCAATCACTTCTCATCATTTTGGTTAAGATTAAGTGTAAACACTATGTTCTAGTTGATAAAGTTTTTCCCATACAAGATTAAGAAATCTAACTCAGCTATACATGTATACTGGAATTAAACAATTAAGTATATAAATGGTGAATGATGGGAGCCAGAGTCTCATTATTGGCGTGGGAGTTTACAGATAAGCAAGAGACGGAGCTAGAATGATCCATATGGTAATGGAATTAGAGTTGGAGACATCATTATTAACTCATGTTTAGCTTAATATAAATTAAAATGATCACATGCTGAAATATTTACAGACACATGTATAGACACAGGATACACACATGTATTTCCTTGATCCATCAACCTAGAGGGCCTAGAGTCAGTGACATCTCAGTAGCAGTGAACAAACCTAATGCCCAGGTCTTGGTTTCTAATACTATTATCCAAGAAAAAGAACCAGGTCTTCTTGGAGAATGGGGGAAAGGGGCATTCTAGGACGGGAATAGAAAATATAGAAGAGGTGCCTAACAGGAAATACACAAGATATGCCAGGAGTATCTTGTAGTGCCAGGAATTAAGGAAATACTTTCAAAAACAAAAAACACCATCAGGGCACATGAAAGTGAAACAGGAGCCAACTGAAAGAGATCCCAATGTTCCAACTTGGAAGAATTTGAGCAACAAAATAAAATAGTATTGGATTATAACCCATAAAATAAATATCCATGGGCCCATACTGATCAAAATAAATAAATTAATTAATAAATAGGGAGAAGAGCTAAATCTTCCACACAGAAGAATTTCAAATGATTTATTTGCATATTCTTCCCTCAAGGAGGGGGGAACATAACTCAACTTGGGTTGATCTATTTCTGGACTCTCTTCCAGTCGATTGATCTATGTATTTATACTTTTGGCAAAGGAAAAAGAAACTGTATAAAATTTATGTTAATTATTCTTTACATGTTTACTAGAATTCACCAATGAAACCACCTGGGCCATAGATTCCTTTTACAGATTTTTAACTACGTATTCAGCTTCTTAATAGTGATAGGACTATTCAAGTTACCTATTTCATCTTCAGTGAGTTTGGTAATTTGTATTTTTTAAGGAATTAGTACATCTTACCTATTTTTGAATATTGAATTCGGCGTGCATAGAGTTGTGTGTAGGATTTCTTTAATGTCCTTTTAATGTTTGTGGAGTCTGTATTGATACCCACTTTTTTTTTTTTTAGTTTCAGAGGTAGAATTTAGCGATTCATCAGTTGCCTACAACACCCAGTGCTCATTACTTCACATGCCCTCCTTAATGCCCATCACCCAATTACCCTACCTCCCTACCCACCTCCCCTCCAGCTACCCTCAGTTTGTTTCTTATAGTTAAGTCTCTTATGATTTGCCTCCCTCTCTGTTTTCAACTTATTTTATTTTTCCTTCCTTTCCCCTATGTTCATCTGTGATACCCACTTATTTTATTCTTGATATTGGTAATTGGTATCTTTTCTATATTTTTGTTTGGTCAGTCTTACTAACAACAACTGTATACTTTTTTTTTAATTTTTTTATTGTTATGTTAATCAACAACTGTATACTTTTGATACTTCAGAGATTTCCTACAATAAACATTTGTCATTTTATAATTAGAAAATATACCATTTTAAAATTACTTGTTTCTTCATTTAAATTGTGGATAATAATGTTTACAACATGGGACTGATATGTGAGTTAAAAGTGGTAATGCATATAAAAGTTCTGTGCAATTTATAGACAGATGCTAACTATTATGATTATAAGATAAGCAAAGGAAGAAAGTTGCATGACTAAATTAGAAGAATATTGTTATCCAACCTAGGAATAGATGGCAATATTTATATTATCATTTTATGGATTTGAAAGAATCCACATTTTCAAACATGGTTTCCCACAACATTTCGGGTAAGATTGTTCACAATTATACGTGTGACATTTATTTACTTAAAAAATTTTTTTAAAGATTTTATTTATTTATTTGACAGAGAAAGACACAGCGAGAGAGGGAACACAAGCAGGGGGAATGGGAGAGGGAGAAGCAGGCTTCCCGCGGAGCAGGGAGCCCGATGCGGGGCTCGATCCCAGGATCCTGGGATCATGTCCTGAGCCGAAGGCAGATGCTTAACTGACTGAGCCACCCAGGCGCCCCATTTACTTAAAATTTTTAATCACTTTTGAAAATGACTAGTCACAACTAAAAATTCAAATATCTTTGTAAACAAGTATAAAAGAACAGAAGAAGATAGGCAATTGTCTCATTAATTCTGCAGCATCCAATGTATTTCTTTGAAGACCAGTCACCTAAACTCCCATATACTTAGATGATTCATATTGCTTAGGTCCCCAGGTAGATTACCTGTGGGCCTAGAGCATGCTGTTTTATTCATCCTATGTTTCAGATTAAAAAACAAAATAAAATAAAACTAATA